TTTGGTGATTGAATGGTATCTAAGGCAACTTAAATATAGTCAATGAATAGTGTTTAGGGCCCTTTTAAATAATTTGTTGCATAGTTACATGCAACAATGCTTGGTTTGCTTAATATTAATGATCAAATGAAAGTTTATAATTATAAACATGTTTATATTTTATAAATACAAGATTAATTTTATTCAATATCAACTGTTAGATGGTAGAATAAACTAAAATATACTAAAAGTGTTTATAAATTATAAATACTTAATTAATCTAAATGAATAACAAATGGTAGAATATCCTAGAATATCAAAAGATATCAAAAATTGATTGGTGTATATGGGGTTGCCAAAAAATAAGCCATTTTATTTTGGATCATTAATCACTCAAAAAATTAGGATTGGCCTAATATCTTTTTTGTTTACATTAAAGTTTTATTTTGCATTTTTGCTTAGGTGGCATCATTTTATCTTATATAGATGGACATTAAATGGTCTTAAGGTGGGGTTCTATATTCCACCTTGAGAGGAAATTTTCCAAAGGGGAGAAACTAAACCCTAGATTCCATGCCCCTTTTGGTGACATGACACCCAAAATGGGGGGGATAGGATGGTGTTCCCCTTATAAATTTCTCCCAAAGCCTAAAACTTAGTGAAATATAAAAATAAAATAATGCTATATGGTTAAATTGCCATATCGTCTAAACATTTTACATATCCACTTCCATATTAAATTTACCAATCCTTCTATGATGTAAACTATATGAAACAATTAGTCATCCATCCATATTGTAATCCTATAGTGGATACTTTCGTCCAAGAATACCTTATAATAGAAAAAACATATACATGGATGCCCAATATATATGAAAATGCCCCACAAGAGGAAGGACATATGCATGGATGCTTAATACATATGATTTCAAATTTAGGGGTAGGAATATACTTTGCTCAAGGGTATATTATATTTTAAATAGCTATCAATTAATAGGAATTAAACATGTGACATTTTCTTTAATACCAGATGTAATGCACTTTATCTTTCTTCCCTTAAGTCAATTGGAAAAGAGGCAATTGCTTAATGAAAAAGCCTTTAGTGGTTATTTTATCCCCATTTATCCCCAAAGTTTCAAAAATCCACGATGACAATATATTCAAATCTTATTCCATGATCGCATACACTACACCCTTACCTCATCCATGGTTGTAATTTAGTTTCTATTCTAGTTCACTAATAGCTCAAATTCCTGTAAATATAAATTTTATAATTCTAGAATTTTTTCTTGTTTTTTATAAATCTATGGAGGAGAGGGCTCTTTTTCTAGTGCTAGCATAGGATCTATGTCAAATACAACTATGATCTAGGTATTTTTCATTTTCTCTTAAAATTTTACAATGAATGAAAATTTTACAATGTATTTTACAAGCTAGATATTTTTTTCCAATTGTGTTTTTACTTTGTTTTGAATGCATTTTTGCAACAACAAAGATTTCATGGTAGGGGAATTAGAAATTCCTTTTTCAAAACTTTAATATCACTCCCTCTTCCAAAAACTTTTTTTGATGGAGCAATAAGTATTCTAGAGGTATAAAAAATATTATTCATGTTTTTTTATCTGATTTTATGACTTGTTTTCCTAGAATGAACTAGCTTTAAATGATGACCAAAAAAGAAAATGGTTTACTAATAAGAACATGACTCTTCAGTATGCAAAGAGGATAGAGAAGGAAAAAGATCGAGAATGCAGTGGCCATAAAAAGTCAATGAAAGGACAAAAGAAGTGATAATGCATTTTCAGGGTTTTACATTCACAAAGATTTCGTTGTACACAAAAGCCATAAGAGTCACAATAGGATGAACTTGCAAAAAAATGAAAGTAAATTAGTGATTACAAGAAATATCCCATCAATGAAACTATCATACTTTAGTAATGAATTTACTGCGAGGATGAAGAAAGATGTGAAGTTTTTCCATATATTCAATAAAGGCCTTTATAATAAAATGTTATTGTGGATGACACAATCAAGAGTTAATATTCCAAGTAGCCATTAAGTTGATACATCTATGGATTTCACAATTGCAAGTGAGTCACCGGGCTATAGTAAGTTCATTTAGATTTTTTGATTGACTTTTGTTGTGATTGCCATCAAATTCTAATTCACTACTAATTGTTTCACTTAGTAGTAAATAATATAAATACTTGGTTTGCTTTGAATTTATCATAATTAAGAAATAATTGCAAGGTTGGATATAACACTATACTTTGGCTTAACAAATATGGTTTCATGGACACCACCTTGTAATCAACCAAAAACAACATCTTTAAAGAAAATTTATTTGAATTTAAAAATAGCAGGGAAAGATTTATAAATAAGAGTGCATCCATTTTTTCCAATTAGTTCAAAGTCTTGGGATATAGAGAGTTAACATCCCTGGGGTGTCCTCCCAGAAAGTTTGAATTAAAAAGATTACATTTCATATCACATATACATACATACATACATATATACATAAATATATATATATATATATATATATATATATATATATATATATATATATATATATATATATATATATATATATATATATATATAGACACACACACACACACATGTATGTATATGTATACCTATTATAAAGATGTATATATATGTATGTATTTATGGATAGTCTATTGAGGTTTAATAAAAAAAGTGCACCTCTTTTGTACAATTTAAAAAGAGGATGATTTCTATTTCTAAAGGAGGTTTTACCAATGCAATTTGTTCCTAGCTCTCATATATGGTTATAACATTAGTAGTCTATTAATATCAAAATAATATTTATATTTCTCTGAAAAATAAAGAAACTATTATTTAATATTTTATTATTTCATTAGAAACTGAAAAACAGAAAAACTTGAAATTTAGCTCCATAATTTCTGCAGAGAAATAAATTTATTTATTATTTAATTTGGAATTTTCCAAATACAATTAAACTTTTCAATATTACAAGATGCAATAAAACCTTCATTTTCAACACATACAGCCATAGGTTGAAAACTTCTTTTATAATAATTATTTGACCATAAAGCTTTTAAATTACCATCATAAAGAACAAGATTTCCATCTATTTGAATTCTAAGAAAGCAATTTTTTCCTTTGTTTTGTGTATTTGTAGACCATAAAATAGTTTTTCCTTCAAAAAATATTAAGTTACAATCTAGTTGCATATATAGCATAAATTTCAGATTTGGAGATATAAGAAAATCCCCTCCTTTTAAATTAGAAAAATGAGAAGTATCTTTTGAGCTTCTAATACAAGTTTTTCGCCATTTACAATCACCATTTTCATTTTCATCATTTATATAAAGTTTAGGATAAATATTTAAAAGACTATAGTTTTTATAAAAATCTGGTTCATATCTTTTATAGTTTCTATAAAATACATTTAAATTATCTGAACTTGGTTTCTCATATACATACATTATGCTGAATCTACCAACAATATATTCAGTTAAAGCCCATTTTAAAATTTCACTATCATTTAATATAAAGTCTCTATATATTCTTTGAAGGATATATCTTAATGATAAACCTGGCTTAGGAGTACCATAACTGGGGAATAAACTGCACATTGGTATGTAATACCAAGGAACTTGACGATTAAAAGATGTTATAATTATAGTAATTCCAGCAGTAATATCAACAAATTTGCGTTCAAACCCTGGGTAATAAGGAGTATTATCTCCAACCATTTCTATAGTTCTGATTATATAAGAAAGTATTAAACCTCTCACATTATGGGGAATAGGATTTACTTGTTCATCTTCACGAATAATCTCAACTGAAATACATGTATTAAATAAAATAGAAATGATTAACATCAAAAGAAATGGACACATTTTTCGTTTACCTTTATCTACTGCTAGTTTTTTTATATATAAATCATAAGGGATTTAAGGATATACCAAAAAGTTAAATTGTAATCTTCACTAAAAACAATTATTTATTGCTGAAATTGTTTTGACTATAAGTTTAAAGAAAAAAGAGGTCTTAGGTTGTAGTGTATATTAAATGGTTTTAGTTTTCTTAAGCAAAAATGTAGGGGTGGTAGTGGATATATCTAGAATATTCTTAGATAATCTATTATTTATTTTATTAATCTTGTATTTATAATTTATAAGCATATTTATAATTTTCAAACTTTTATAAACATTTTTATTAATTAATTTTATAAATTTAAGGATTATTAAATATATTAATAAATAGTACGTTGCTATTTGCAACATGAAACAAATTATTGTGATTATGAAATGATGGTAGAATAAATAAATAGCACTAAGCTTGTACAATGCCATAAAACATGACATAAACATAGAAGTGGTTTACAATCAGTGTTTCTTCATTTCTTATTCTCTTTCTTCTAGAGTAATCAATTTTGGACAAGATGAGATGCCACTTTGGGTGTGAAGGAAATGTTTTTTCTTGATGGCACATATATTTAACACACTTTGTAAAAAATAGTGACACTTGTTAAAATGATCAGGACTCGTAGATGCCCATGTAGAAAATCTAGAGCACAAGAACTGGAGCTTGATGTCTCACAACAATGTTCTTGATGAGGCTTGACGATAAAACACCTGAATGGCCAATTGGAAATCACTGGCAACTGCAAAATTTACCGGGAAGAACAGCACAAACATCTTTGCAATATCCCTTACTTATCAACTTCTGTTATTTGCTGATAAGTTATCATGCAAATGCAAACAGCTCCATAGTTCTTGAAGTACATAAGCCTACTACAAGCTTTGAAGATCTCCCTGTTAGTGTGTTGTTTAAGGGGCAACGAACACCCATTCATGAGCAGAAACTCCGGCAGTTTACCTCATCTTAGACCGGAAGTGGAATATTCGCTAAATTTTCTCTCACTAAATGGGTTCAAACATAAGACTCACAGAACCATAAATTTGGCAACAGGAAGATCCAGATTGCAACCTACACAAAAATTCCTCACTTTAGAAAAAATTCTCTTTATGATTTAGAGCCAGTGTTCATGGTTGTCTATCATTGCATTTCATCTCAAACACAAGATTCCCTTATTGCTTCCACTATTTAAGATTTCAGCTACCCTTGCACCTTCCATGCAGCATCTACATCATCGCCACGTGGAGTGCCAACAAGTACAGACCATCCCTCTACTGCCATCAAGAAAACTCAAGCCTGTGGAATTTTTGGAGCGGGCGGTGGTTGGCCTTTCCCAAATCATATTTAGATAAGCTGGCTGCATCAGTAGGTAGTCTCCACCCGTGCGAGCGAGCCATGACTCGCAAGTGTAGCCGCCAGAGTAAGCATCCCGTTTTTGTTTTTCAGAATGAGTCCAGACGCAGCACAAGTAGGCCAATATACCATACGGTTAACTGTCGTCCATGTACTTTTCTTGAACAGCAGCATTTGTATTTGCCAGTGATCAAGGAGGGACTAGAAACAAAGAAACGATAGAAACAGATTGATAGGAAAAAAGGATATCTGTAGTAGTCCCAGTTAAGAGGCCCAGCAGCAATTTTGCTGAACTCTCTCATGTTTCCTTCGATTCCTGAAAAGATGTAGCCATTGCATTTGTCGACTCGTTTCATGAGATCAGCCACACTCTCTTTGTCCTGTAAATAAAAATCTCTTGCTCCTACATTCAAGCGGCAAACGAGGTTGAAAAACTCACCTGGATGTTCAGTGTTGTAAAGCTGACCAGCGAGTAATCGCCCACAAGCTCACAGAGACCCTCGGTTAGTTTCCTGCGAGTATGTTCTTCAAAGTTCGAAAGCAAGGTCAATAGAAGCGTTACCTGTACTTAGCCATGCGGGGATTTTGATCCAAATGATCCACCAAGTAGCTCAAGTCTTGAAGGTCTGTGTAGAACTCCAAATTGTACGCTGCAGACGTCTCGCACGAATGAGACGCGTCTCAAAATCGATAAATAGCGATAACGAGCGAAGATCTCACCAAGTT